GGACACCAGCAGCTTTCTCAAGACATCCTTTGGCAAGTTTCCCTACCCGACCAAAGCAGAGCTCTGCTACCTAACAGTGGTGTCAGAGTTCCCCGAAGAGCAGATCAAACTGTGGTTTACTGCCCAACGACTCAAGCAGGGCATAAGCTGGTCTCCTGAAGAGATCGAAGAGGCCAGAAGGAAGATGTTCAACACCGTGTTCCAAGGTGGAGCACCCAAGAAGCAACCAACCACACCACGGCACGTCAATCACATCGTAACCCACCACACTGTAACTGCCCATCCAGGCTCAAAAGGACCAAACTTTCAGATGGCCAAAGTTCCATACAGTGGTGTAAAGGCCAGATCTGTCGGAGTCATAGCCACACAGGCCAGCATGTCAACCAACCCCCACATTACCCGGGTCTCGTATTCTACTCCGGTTGTCCCCCCAAAGTTCCCCTCTGTAGTCAGAACTACACAGGTACTGACCAAGAATACTGAACCCACTGTGGAGCCGGAAAAGAGCAACGGCCTGGACATGGCGGGGAGCAGCGGTTGCGTCAGTAGCACCAGCAACATTCGAAGCAGCAGTAGCAGCAGCAGTTGCAGCAGTAGCAGCAGCATCAGCAGCTATTCCAGCAGTAGTAATGGTGTTGACAGTTTCACCAGGAAACCGGTGCACAACAGCGGCCCAGCCAACGGCATCAACAGCATTGCCACTTGCTCTGCCAACATTAGCAATAATGATGAGCACTGTGTTGCTGACACCAACGGCAAACCAAATGTCAAAAGCAACAGTTTACCAATCGGATCGGAAGGTTCAAACAGTAACAAGTGTGAAGAGTCCATTGACAACACCAGCAAATCTAACATCACTTGTAACAATCATGACAGCAGCATCATCAGTGCACAAGAGCCAGCCCACGCCTCGAAGCCCGACGATGATCAAAACAATTACATCCACGTGACCAACAACAGCAGTATTAGCAGTGAATATCCCAGTACTACCTGTAATGACAGTGTCCCTAACCTGAATCATGCCAGCAAATCCCCAACGGAAAGCACCAGCACCACTGTCATTGCAAAAAGCAGCTCATCCGTTATTGAAGAAGGTAAAAGCAACAAAGACTTTCCCATCAAAGGCATGTCAATCTTACAGCAGCTCATTAAGGAGGAGGACGCATTTGCCGGGGACAAAAGCTGCCCCGAGCTCAAGCTTGACCCCATCAAGATCAACTTCAAGAGGCTGAAGATGACTGAACCAGAGGCTACATCAGAGAATGCGCATCAAGAACACAAGTCCGAAACTGCGGAGGGGTCGGCTTGTCAGGCGTCTTTTTCTCCCCCCTGGGGCCACAAGACCCCGCAGCAGTTGCACATCCTCCGGCAGGTTTTCTCCAACACCCGCTGGCCCAGCAGCCAGCAGTACGAGGAGCTAAGCATCCAGACGGGCCTTCCCAAGTCAGAGGTGGTGCGCTGGTTCAGTGACAGCCGGTACAGCCACAAGAACGGGCAGCTGAAGTGGTTGGAGAATTACCGGCGGCCGCCCGCGGAGTCGGAGGATGCGAGGGGTCGCAGAGATGCAGAGCTCGAGCCACCCAAGGACGCTCCGGCGGCCAAAAAGAAACTTGCTGAGCAAGACATGAACAAGCACCTTGAAGGAGAAGCAGGACTGAACTCAGGTCAGCGGGTTGTGTGGCAGGATTCATACTCACCGCTGATGGGCCTGATGGGATCCGAGGGGAGCGGCGAGCGAGGCCAGCGCGACGAATTGGGGCAGCCGGGAGCTTTGCAGGATCTCTGGTCAGAGCGAGCGGAGGACCACCAGCAGCCAGTGGCTAGTCAGTCACTCATTGAACAACAGACTGATTCCAATCAGGCCAGGTATTTGAGTCACAGCAATCCTTTTTGCACACCACTGAAACACACATTTCACTCACAGTGCCTTGTGATATTTTACAAGCTCGATGCTATTTATCAATCAAGAAAACAAAAACAACGTAAGGCAGGTGGAGTGATGAAAGGGTGACAGCTTGTTGTTTGTAGTGACTGCTGCGTGATGTACAGTAAAAAGAAAGCAGGAGAAGCGGGTACAAGTACTCATGCTGTGTAGCTTATTCAGGCAATCAAAGGTCTGTGTTTAAGAAGCTATTTTTAGATAAGTAGGAGTCTGGCCCGCTGAATTATAGATTGAGAGCGCATGCTAACATATGTGAATAAATCATGACAATTGCCTTTGGTGAGTTAGATTTCCGAGAGGCAAGACAAGCCATACGCAGGCGTCTTTTTACTGTGCTACCCCCCACCCCAAAAAAGGCCCTTCAATTTTACAACACACTGCAGCAGTGCCATGCAACCAGAATGATCCAATCGCATCCTCACGGTTTGTGTATGTTTTGTTTGCCTGTCTGTCTGCGTGTGCTGCTTAGCAGGGATCGCCTGAGGATGGAGATGCTGGAGGTGTGATGAAGCAGGCCTGCTCTCGCCAGAGGACCATGATGTTCAAAAGCTGGCTCGCTCCCCTGGCCAAGGTCTTAACACAAAAGAGAAAAAAAAGAAAAAAAAAAGAGTGTTCATAATGACAGCAGATGTGATTGTAGCTGGACCGTTGGACTCTGACTGTAACTGTGAATACCCCCCACCCCTCCTTCTCCTCCTCCTCCGCCTCCTCCTCCTCTTCTTCTTCTTCCATCTGCCATCACTTCCTGCCATCGTCAAAAGAAAGAACTTCTCACCTTTGAGTCCTGTGATGTTTAAGCCTTTCATGCTTCTTTGTGGTTGTGTGGGGAGGGTGCACAATGAGGTCAGTACGAGGGATCAAAGACAAGAAAGAGAAAAGACGCACACTGACTGGAAAACTGACTTGAATGAGCGAAGATAGGGTAGGATAGGGCCGAGAGATATTGTTCTGGGGTCAGAGGGAGAAATATATATATATGATTGAAACTGCACTATAAAAGAGGGTTTGTACTGACTGGACAAACAAATGATGTGTCAAGGATATGTTATTGTTGGCTTTGTGATATTTTTTACTTTTTTAGCAACCAGTACTTCAGCACTGCCTTGAATTTTACTTTTTTTCTCCTTTATTTGGTTTTTCAATTCTATTTACTCTTCTATAGTCACTGTAAGTCCAGATGCAATCAAACATGTTTTATTTAGATCTGTATAAATGTTGGTGATCACTTTTGCAGTTCAGCTACACGCAAGAGACTATATACAATGCACTAATGAAGACAGCAATGCTAAAAAAAAAAAAAAGAATCACACTGCTCCACAGTAAAGGTATTGACTGCTCCGTCAAGATCAATACACTACACTGCCCTGCAAACTGAACAGAGAGAAGCCTGTCACGCTAACGTTGCCTTACTCAGCTCTGTCCATGTGTTTATATGACCTGTCTGTCCATCACCTTGCTTTCCAGCTACTGTGCTGTCCAGAAGAGAAGAAGAAAAAAGATAAAAAAAAAAAAAGATAAAACATGCCAGTGCATTGATGGTCACTGTTGGTCTATATCTGTGAAACAATCTTGTGCTGCTTTCTGTACACTTGGAGATGTTTAACTTTAAGCTGTAATTGTATCAAATATTGTTACTGGCAAAATGTTGTTTAAAGCAAAATTATCAATTTGATCCCTAGACACTGACAGAGTGAGATATTGTGCTAGCTAGAGAGCCAAATGAGGAGATCTTTGCTCTCCTCTGAATTTTCTTGTTTATATGAACATACAGTCACTACATGAATCCTACTAAGCTGCATCTTTGTCAAGCTGCTAATAGCTAAGAACGGTGCTATACCATCCAAAGTGAAATTGGAGGTTCATCTCCTACCAGCAGTGTATGCACTTGTGTCGAATGTTACAAATTTATTTTGGTTTGAGATAAATGGAATCTGGACTTACGGTGTTATGATGACTTAAACTTTTATGAAATAGTCTGATCATAAAGCACTGTTGTATCATCCTTTCTACACTTCTGAATCTTTACAGAATAAACTGAATACTCACCAAGCAGAACAGGCTCCTTTTTTCCCCCCACCTCTTTTGTTCGGCACCTTGTGTTAGGGGTGAATATGAATCATGTGGTGTTAGTCAAATTATTCAGTGTGATGAATGTTCAAGCAGGATGCAATGTGCTAGAACTGGAGAAATGCACACAGCCTCACCTGCTGGCGAGCAGCTGACAATACAGTTTGTGCCAGAGATAAGCGGGCGGCAGGCAACACCCAAACATCTCCATGTCTGTAGTGTAGTCCTCCTACATCACATTCAGGGGGAAGCCTTCCAGTTTTTATTTTTGTAACCCTTTTTTTGCCCACATGAATTTAATAACACCAGCTTGTTTTCCAGCTTAAAGTATTTCAGGGCTCTGTTGATTCAGTTCTCAGGGCTGTTCATGGATATTAGAAATAAAATTTAGAGCTCATGCTTGTTCTCCCATTACAGGAAATAAAGTTGTGCTTAAGAATGCTGTAAATCGGGCAAGAGAGCCACCGTGGCTAAAGCTCCAAACCCAACAGGCATCTGTTAAGCTTGGGGGGCTCCTCTGATCAGGGAGGGGGAAATAAATGCATCCATCCAGCCACTGTCTTTAGTTTATCCTTGTCAGGGGAAGGCTGGAGCCCATCCCAGCTGTCTTAGGGCGAGAGGCAGGGTACACCCCCGGACAGGTCACCAGTCTGTTGCAGGGCTACATTTAGAGACAGGCAACCAGTCGCACTCACAGGCAATTTAGAGTTACCACTTAACCCATCTCCACTAACTGCATGTCTTTGGAATGTGGGAGGAAGCCAGAGTACCCAGAGAGAACCCACACAAACACGGGGAGAACATGCAAACACACAGAAAGACCCTGGCCTGATGGGGCAATTGTACTCAGGATGTTCTTGCTGTGAGGCAATAGTGCTAACCACTGTGCCGCCGTGAAATAAATGTAATTAATAAAACATAAAATGAAGAAGAGGTGTTGCCATTTCAGTGGCGTAAGAGACAGAACGAGAAAACACACAAAGCCAATGAGTTACCTGTAATGTTTTAATCATTTTTCAATCTACAATGAGCTTAAAACATGATCAAAAGGCTATGACAAAAAAGGTAAAACAGGAATAAAATGTTGACTTTACAGCTACTTACATCAACTTTTCTATAAGAGTGGAACAGAGTGGAGTAAAATGAACTGAATTCACATTAAATGTTACAATACTCAATCATTACACAATTAAAAACCTGCCTAAAATTGTAACAGTTTGGTGAAGTTTTTTTTCCTTTTTGGCAAAAGTTGACATCCCTCACACACACACACACACACACACACGCGCGCTCTCCATTTTCTGACTTTATACATTATCATAGCATCTTCAAGTAACAGATATGGGAGGTTTTTTGGAACAATTGTTTAAATTAAGTTAAAAATCAAATGTAGACAGGGCTATGCAGCGAGAGAGTCCGAGGGTGCTAGCAACAAAAGGATAAAAATGATTGGTTCACATTTACAATGAGAAAAAGAAAAAAAAAGTCCCTGATAGAAGCTGTAAAACAAAATATTCACATTCTGCTTGTTTAAGTAAATATTGACATGGTTGCAGTATTTTCCCCTTTGCCTGCCCAGACATCCCCTTCCATGCTCAACAATTCAACATAGTCCAGTTTAAAATATTCACCCAAACAGACAGCTTCTACGGTTGAGCCCTAACACACACAAGCACGCGCACGCACACACGCAAACACACATTTTCATTTCCTCAAAAGGCGCGTGGGTGTAGTTAAGGAATTCATTCAATTTTTTTTACTTTGTCTATCAAAATATAGAATTCATTAATAATACATGGGATGGCTAAAATACAAAGTGAGTGAACAAAGAAAATAAAATGATACAAAGCATTGTTTTTGCTTGATACAGTAGCTAAAAGGACCACAGAGTTCAAAGTTCAGGCATTGTCAGGTTTTTGTCCCAGAGTGTGGACAATCACAGAAGGTAAAAGGGTCTTTAAATTACAAGTAATAAGCCTTGAATCCTAGTCGTGGGTAAAGTTCAGTCTTGTTGCCCGATCTCAGATCAGATGTTTAGACTATCCACAACTCCCCCTAACCCTTCATAATGGCCTCACATCATTTCATCTTGTCGCCCTTTTTGTTTTTCGCTCAAAAGTTCTGAAATTCCTTGTCAGGTCTGGCCACGGAGCAAAATTCAGTAAAGCTAAAAAACAAGTATCCAATTTTTTTTTTTTTTTTGGAAAAAAAAAAAAAAAGTATCATAGTTAAAACCACAAACTGGGATTTAAAATTCATAGTCGTCTTCTGCCATGTCAATGGCCCAGGCAAACTTCTCACGCTGGGTTTTGTTGTAGATCTTTTCCACGGGAATGCCCCACTTCTTACACCTACACCACAATGTCATAAGATAAAGGACAGGTTTTATTGCAGCAGTGCTTTTCATACTACATGTTACTACAAAAAGTAACAGGACACCTCTTAAATTGGAGTTGGTGCCTTGTCAGTGACCTTTGACCACCAAAATTAATTTGTTCATTTAGTACCTTTACTTTGTGACCATAAGGTAGAAAATTTAATAATCTCTTACCAAGCCACAGAAATGCGAGGATCCAGATAGTTGAGTTTGGAAGTACCGAGTGCAATCTGTTTATTCTCTTCTCGATCAGTTGCCTGCACTTCCAGCTTCATCAGTTGCTCTTCTATCCTCTGTACCGCTTTCTTCTTGCTCTCCACTGCCCTACAGAGAAAGCAGACAATGCAATACAAGCATGTAAACAAGATTCACAACAAGAGGGGAGAGAAAGAAAGAAGAAGAAGAAGAAAAAAAAAGAAAAAAAAAAAAAAGCACTTTATTAAAACCTCTGACTACTTACTTTTTGGATTTTTCATCTTTTCGTACTTTGGCGTCTGCCTTGGCGCTCTTCAGTTCTCTCTTGGCATCAGCAAGCTGGTCCCTTTTAGCGTCAATCTAAGGATGACAGTAATCATTTCAGATGAGTTTGATCAATTTTATTTTTGATCAACTGGACCTTTTTATATTTTGGAGATTACATTTTACTGTCTAGACACTTCCATGCTCAGATTGTTTTTAACTTGAGACTATAGTTTAGTGTACCCCTACAGGGTGGCCAAAAATCAGAAGAACCATGATTCACATGGTGTAGCTCCGTCAGCTGGCTAGTGGCTATAAATCCCAAGGAAGCAAATGCCTAATGAAAAACTGTACTATAACCCCAAGTTGTACTGTGAATACTGCAATATCATTTAGAGGTCCCCCCCCCTAAATTAGCAGGGATGACACCCAAAGTGCCTGAGTCAGGGAGTTTGAGTGCTCTGCATGGCACAACAGGAGAGCACTGCTTGATGGACACATCTCCAAGCATGGGTAAATCTGTCATGCATAAAAATAAAAGAACACAGCTGTAGGGATTTTTAAAAGTCTATTTAGATGATGGACAAAGTTAATTTTTTTTGTCTCAAGTTGGAAAGAGGGGAGACAAAACTCATGGAACAATGTTCTGCAGTGCATGTTGGTCAGGCGGTCTTTAATTATTGTTTACAAAAACGCTTCAACCTTGTCAGCAAAGCCATTTAGTAAGTCATCTAATCCAAATGTGCCCACATGCTTGCCTTTTTGTTTAGGAGATAAACTACATAATTGCTTTAGTATGTGTGCACAAGGCCCTCACTACCCAGTTCCACCTTTTTGGTTCTGTAATCGTGTTAACATATTTCCTCAATACTCTGCATTTGAATGACTTCAGAGTTTTGATTTCTATGTAAAGTGGTGTGCCCCCCCCCCAGTGAAACTCCTCTTATGTTAGCAGCATTGTTGGTTGAGTTTAGAGTGAAAAGTCAAAAAACAAATATAAAAATTAAACTAAACAGAGCAATCTCCACACCAGGACTGGCAAAAGGAAACAAAATAAATTTTAAAAAAAATAATAATATAAAAAAAAAAAAAAAGGACCATTTTCAGTTCACTGGAGTATGCAAAAAGTTTTTACCTTTGACTGCAAGTTCTGCATAGACTTCTCAAATGTCTTCGGTGGAGCCCTCTGATGGTTACACAGAATGGCCACTGCCCTGTTGGCCCTGTTGTAGGACAGGATTTTGGCCGGAATGTTCTCCTCCGCTAAGATTATGAACAAAATAAATACATAAAGTTATCACCACCCTGTTAGCTATACAACAGCAGACAAACCTACATAAAAAGCTTGCCAATAACAACAAAACCAGAACACAGGTTGCCGTCTCCCCTTGTTATTTCTACACAATTTACGTGGAAACACACCAGTCGTGAGCTCCTTCAGCTGCTGCTGCAGGGTGATAGAGGCGTTGTATGTACGGAAAACTTTGGCTGTCAGACCATCCATCAGCTCCTGAAGGTGCTTGTTCAGGATTGATGTCTGAGGAAGACATGCAATTAAGAAACCAAGTTTTAAAAAGGCAGATGGCGGTGCTATGAAAGTCATTTCAAATAAGGATTTATGTTGTGAATTCTCAAGTCATAAATTAAAGGGGATTTGTTTTCTTTAACTGGGTATATTTTACTTACATTCAGCCGATCAAATAGGTCATCATCAGGCTCTTTGTTCTCCATAAACAACTGTAGATTCTTAAATACCTGGAAAAGGCAAATCACACATAAATAAAGAAGCAGAGTTTACACAAAAGTACTGCATTTCAGTAAGAATGGTGCTCACCCTCTTCTCCACAGGGACTCTGTTGTAGTAGCGGATCGAGTCTTTACCCAGGAAATCAAACTCAACTACGTACTCTTGACCCTCGTTCTCTGGATAGAGTTTGATGTGTTCAACTCTCAGCGAGCAGCAGCCCACAGTGTCTGCAGTCTCTCCTTCTTCCTTCTCATTACCCGCTCTCAGAGCCAGCTAGTGTACACCAGACAAAGACGGTACCTTAAATGAGGTAGTGTTCAAGAACGCACCAAACCTCACATGCAATGTGAAGTCATTACACCATAAAACCTTCAAAATGCACCCACTCGAGGTCCTGTTACTGCAAATAGCAGTAACAGGACCTCACCTTATCAATGAAATAGAGAGCCACAGCCCTCTGTCTGATCCTCATCTCCTTGGACTTCCAGTCTTCGCGGTACTGGGCTCTGATGCGGTCCACACATTTCTTCAGTCGACGTGCCGTTTCATACTTCTGCCAATCCTTCTCTCCCTGCAGGCAAAAAGATGAGACAGGAGTAACAAATTAGGCAAAGGTCTACATAAACAAGCATGCCCAATTTGATTTATGTGACAGCCAATTAAATAAGGTTTTTCCACAGGACAGGAGTATGTTGTGTCACTTTTTAAAAAAAATAAAAAAAATAATAAAATCTGCTCTTGAAAGGTCTCAATTTTTACATTCCAGTGGAGCAAGCAACACAAAAGAGTCAGGAAAGTTTTAAGGAGACCACTGGACCATACAGCATCATTTCAACTTTGACTGGAGACAAAAAAGGCGTTGTGCATGTGCCAGCTATGGTGCCTACCTTGATTCGAGAGCTTGGGTTCAGCATAATGTACTTGATGGAGCCTTGAATGTTTTCTGTCCACGACACCAGCCAAGTCACCTTATTGTCATGACGAACTTCTTTCCATTTGGTGCCGGGAGGAGGCTCAGGAACCTTGGAATCCCTATTATGGAACAGTGAATATTTAATTATCACATTCTGCATTAAAAGCTGGTAATCAGCACGAGGAGAAAATAAAACTACTTTACACACTTGCTGCAGTTGATGATAATGTCTTGGGGCCTGATTCGGCGTTTGAGCATCCCCATTTTAGGATGGTCTCCACGACCACGAAACAGGCCTGGAGGCTCAATGCGGAAGTTAGCAATACGTTCCTTGTGGTTGTCCATGATGCAAAAGCCATATTGCTGCAAGATGCGTTCATTCTCTTCCTTTATTTTCTACAAAAGGCATAAAAAATAAAAAAAGCTTCATTTTGCAGAGGTCCTTTAGGTACTCACTGTTCACTGGAACCATTTAAGTGCCAATTTTAATCAAATCACATCAGCCTAACATTATGAATTTCTTCTTGACTAACTGATCAAGTTTCACAAGATGAGTGATATCAGTGGGGAAATACAGAATTAAAGCCAAGGAGAACTGAAACACACTTTTGTTATTAGGTACATGACATCCAGCATGGCAGAAAACTCTAGAGCCCTCTACAGGAATCAATGAATGTAGGGGTTAAGGTTAATATGCTGTGTGCCCCACTACACGTAGGCAGCAGCTTACTTGTTTTTCCTCCTTAGACATGGCTTTCCTTGCTTCAGATTGTGCCTTGAAGTAGTTGCTCATTTCACCGAAGTCACACTTTTTCAGGTCTGTGAGCTTAGCCCTTTCTTCTGAAGTCATTTCCTGTGTCCAGAAAATTTTGAAAAACAACTAAAGTAAATCAAAGAACAGATTTTTTGATATATATTTTTTTTATTTTATTGACAGGAGCAGAGATTTTAGGCTTACCTTCCTCCAATCTTTAAAGAAATTTTTACGGAAGATATCCTTGGTGGTATATTCATGATCCAGCATTTTGGCAAAGAAGGTCGCTACCTCCTCCGCTTCTGGGCTGAGCTTCATATGTTTACCTGAAATGTAAAAGTCAGACATTTATAATCACCTCAGAGTCCTTCACTAGCGTACAAGATGAACTGTGCAAAGCCTTACCATCATAGTAAAATTTGACATGGCTAGGAAGAGGTTCATACGCTGGTGCAAACACTGGCCCTTTGTGTTCAAGGAACTTCCATTTGACACCATCTGTGTATCTCTCCTCTTCCCACCTAGAATCAAGCAAATAAATCATTTTTACATAATGACAGTGAAAATAACAAAAAACCAGCAACAATACATCCAGCTGTCCTGTCACCACACTGATAAGCATGTATGATTGGTACAGCTGGCTAACCCAATTAACTCACCATTTCCACTTCTCCTCGGGCTCTTTCTTTGCTTTCTTTTTTCCATCGGTTACTTCTTTTTTGTGTTTTGTTTTTTTGGACTTAATGTCCTGGGAAAAGGAAGTGAAAGTATTTAGTTCTTTCTGACAACGTAGGGATTAACATTTAACACAAAAGATATGGCAGCAAAACAATTCTGCCCTCTACTAAAGTCTCTTACTTACCTCGTCTTGTTTCCTTTTCTTGGCCTTCTTGTCATTTTCAGTTTTTATTTTTTTAGGTTTGAATTCAGCGCTGAAACAAAAACACTCTTTGTTATCAGGCCTCAGCGATACAACTTTACTTGCATGGATGACTACAGATGCTCTAACCTAGTGAAACAGACTACAGTCTATGAACAGAGAACTTACTCGTTATCATCATCATCATCTCGTTCTCTTTTTAGAGACCTCTCGTGTTTTGGAGAGTGGTAAAAATCATCCTCAGGCTCAGACTTCATATACGGTGGGCTGCCAAAGAAAACGCATTAAACACAGAAGTTAGATAGCTTCATATGAATGCTGCATCCTGACAGCACTTAAGAGCAAAGTATAGTGCTGACATACCTGGCAAAGCCATTCTCCTTTTCCTTTTTTATTTTCTCATCAAAGGACTTCATCTGAAATGTTTACACAATGGCAGTAAGACAGAAGAGCCTGAAGTGCAAATGACAACTATGCCCACATACACGCAAAATTATAAACTCATACTTCCATTATAAAACCTCTCTACAGGGTTCAAAACTAATCTGAGAGCACAAAATCTAAGTAGATAAACACTGATATCAAGAGCAGTTTGACAATACAATACATTATTATTTTAAGTAGACAACCCCATTAAGACTGTGCAATATGAAATATACCATAATGATGTTATGTCAGTTATACTGCAAACCAGTCCCTGCCACAGACACAAACCTCTTCTACAAACCTATGCAAGAATCCCGTGAAAGAATATGGAAAGAGTTTACGAATGAGAAGCAAAAGGAGTTTAAGTGCTCAAGCTAGAGCAAAGTCTAATGTTAGAACAGGCTTTCGCATTGGATGCCATAGAAAGACATATCTATAGGGTTTTGTGACTTTAAAGCACTCTATTTAAGGTACACGACGCCCCGCTGAAAACACTCCACCTAAGTTGAACTGCCTCATTTATATTACGAGTGTCGAGTAGTGGAGGAAATCCACAACGTAGCATACTACGCTGCAACAGCAGATGTATGGACGACTTGAACAACGTATCCCTGCACGAGCTCAATGGTGCACTTCAGAGACTGGACACTCAGCATCCAGCAGTAAGGATAGCTAGTAAGGATAGCTGGAAACATCAGGAAAGCTCTGGGGAAACCTTGGGACTGTGTGGGGTCATCTAGCATTTATCATTATGGATGTCGCCACACAAGTCCAATATGTTTTTAGTTTTTGAATTTAAATATTAAACAGCACTCTTTCCATATAGTGATTGTGATTTTGTTAGTGGGATAAGAAATGACTAACAGGAAATGAAATTCTGGTCATATCACACAGCTCTCCCTCTCCCATTTATCACATCTTTAAAAAAAAACAAAAAAAAAAAACTATTTTAATCCATAATACCAGTGTATGATTTAGACAACATAATTGCCTAATGTAGCATCACTAAAATTAATTTGTAAATGTTACAATCATGCATTTCCTTGGCAAGTCACCTTCTCTTCTTTCCTCTTCTCCTTGTGCTTTTCCTTATATTTGTCTGTGCTGCCATCTTTGTGCTTCATCTTTTCCTTCTCCTTATCTCGGTGCTTTTTATCAGAGGAATCCTTGTGATCACTATAGTGTTAGAAATTCACAACTTAATTTAACCTCATTCAGTTTCCACTATTTAAAGCAATCAAGCATGTCTAGCGAAGCACAAACACACACTATACCTGTTTCCATATTTTGATTTCTCCCGCTCCTTATCCTTCTTGTGGTCCTTATGTTTGTGTTCCTTCTCTTTATATTTGTCTTTATGCTTGTGAGAGTCTGAAAATAAAAACTGTATTAAATTTCAAAATAAAACAAGACAATGATACAATGACGCACTGAATTAAAAACAACCGTCTGCTCACACTGAGGACTAATATGCAAACATGTGAAAGTGTGTTTTAATGCATAAGTAGCAAAAACAGAGTCCTCTCAAGCAGCCAAGATTGATAATGTCCAGAAAACTAGTCTTAAATGACAACTTTAACAGTCCACCTGTGTCTATTCTCTTAGTAGAAACAAATTACTCAGTACAAAAAGGTCTGTCCCAAATGAATGTCATGCAGGCTGCAAATAGATAATGTATTACACAGCAGCACAGCACCTCCTACTGCTACTATAAGCCGCATGCTTTGGACAATATGAAGCAACTAGCATGTTAAAACATGCAAGAGAACCAAATAGCCTTTTGAGTTTCTTTAATGTGCCAGCCAAGACTGGAACGTAATCCTAAAAGAGAGAGTTCTCAAAATTAAAGAGCTAACACCCCAACATTGTCATTAACAAATGCCAAATTAAATCTGGTTCTTTTACAGAAACTGTCCTTAGGTCTAAGGCAAAAGGAGATCTGAGAGCTTCTAGCCCATCTAACCAATGTGAATGTCTACATTTCCTAGAGTACAAGACAAAAATGGCACACATGTACCAATCATGAGAAGTTTAATCAGCGACCAAGCCCGTCTCAGAACAGATTCAGATCTTGCTCATTTAGTTCCTTTTAATTCGGATGTCTTTGTTCAGCCATTAATCCAAAGATGAGTTTTATTCTACTCCTATTTATGCCAGACTGCTTAGTGAAATTAAAAGCACTGTTACTAATAAACTACAAAGTTGTGCCAATTTAGCCAAGCCTGAAAGTAAAGACCGTGTTAGCTAAGGGTCTGCAAGTACCACAGACAAATGTTGCCCTGGTGCAGAGTAATCAGAAGTGGAGTTGTGTCATAGCTAGGGGTGGGCCACGTCATATCACTCACAATAATACAGCTGAATTGGGGGGGAAGGGGTGGGTTGCCTCAGAGAAGAAGAAAAAATTAATAAAAAAAAAGTGTCAATTTCATGGCATAACCATGTCACCCGATTACACTTAAGTGGGTCAAGAAGCACAAACTTATTAAAGTTGTGAAGGTGAATGCAGCATTACTGCTGAAGGTTTAGTTCCTAAAAAGAGCAGCTACTTCATTGGTGTGGAATATTTTGGATACAAATGAACAGATACAGAACAGACCACGATAACATGCAAGGAGCGCAAGAAGTCAGTAATATAGAAATACGGGAAATATCTAACTTATTTCACCATCTCAAGCATCAGCACCCAAGTCTGTACCAGGAGTGTTTGAAAGCCAAGGAGGAAAGCTCTGCAGCTAATGCTACAAAACTAAAACAAAGTAAGCTAGTTCATCATGGAATCGCCGAGTCTCGCCAGTTGTACTCCATATGACAAGAAAGAAAAGCAAACGCAGGAACGATGTCACCATTTGTTTGGCGAAAGACATGTCATGACATGCATGACATGACATGCATGACAGGCATGACATGCCAGTCCAAACGCTGGAAAAGAGAAGACTTCATGCAGCTTATGAAGAAGCTAGACTTCGAAAAGGACATTTTTCCAAGACTGCACTCCCAAACATTTAAAGATTTTATTTTTTGTAAACTGCACTGTAGATTTTATTTTGTTACACCATTTGCTTTAAACAGACCTTTTCCACTCAAAGAACAGAGGGAGAATTTACTTTTAGTCTTTAAAACTGAAAGGTAATAATTAAAGTTATTGTACTAAAAGTTAACCGTTTAATATTTTAAGCTTATACAATATCTCAAGGCAATTTGTTATGTTTATGCTGCCAAATGAATAACAATTTTTTTTCTGTACTTTGTCATACTGTCAAAACACAGTGACATATCACGATATTATGTTTGGGCTATATCCCCCCCATCCCTAAACACAGCAGTATAAATGCCACTTGTAAAGAAATCAACCTTAATAATTTTATATCTTATGAACTTAAAACAGTGCATAGAATGTAATAGAAATATAGCACTTTATTGTCATTGTACATGTACAACAAAATTGTGGGAATACTTTTACCAGCCACAATTGAACAAAAACTAATTTACTTACAACATTTTTTAAAAAGTGTTTTCCCCCCCAGTTACCAGTACATTATGGTTAATATTCTGATTTCACACACATTTAAAAAACAAAAAAAGTCCTAAGCTCACTTTAAACTTTGAGACGTTAAGTCCATGTAATATTCAATACTCCAAGTTGCACTGTGATGGGTAATGAAGAGCTTCTAACTTGATTTTGAAACGTGAGTCGACCTAAAAATGATCCACTCTTTACCATAATGTGGGAAAGTAAAGTCCCAGTAGCGACAAAAATAAGCGCTTTTAATATCGCGCATTTAAAAAGAAATAAAAAAAATTAACTACAGTCGCTGGCCTCCACTTGGTTATCTTAATGAAGCACTATGACTTTCCATTTTCCTCCACACAGCCATCTGCACTTCACAGCCTGGGTTCAGCTTGCAACAGTCAGGCCGCTACACCGAAAAAGAAAATGGCGCAGAGACTAAGTCCTCAACCCCCAAACCCTCACTTTCAGGGGAGAAATATGCTGTTAAAAGCTCGCCAACAAAAGATACTAAAACGATAAACTAATAAAACACCTCCAGCTGCGTGGTAATATTGATTCAAATCGTTAAAATAATGTACGGAAAAGCTTTTACAAGGCCTCCCTTTTGAACAATAGACGCTTGTGAGTGAGACAGAGGACTTAGTCTCTGGACGCCATTTCTGTCCTCTACAGAGAACTAACGTAATGTTAGATGTGATCAGTTAAGACAGGACAGACTTTGAGAAGAATCCTCCTTTACCTTTGTTAGTTTAATGTGATAAACTTACCATTGACCCGGGAGCCACAGTCAATCTGCAAAAAAAGGAAGGATGAATGTTAAAATTCGCAGTAGATAAGCTAACTAGCTAGCTAACTAACTTTGAACTTACTGGATGGCAGAGCGAGTTTTTTCGCTACTAGCTAGCTCGGTTAGCTTCCTATGCTGAATGGTAATGGCTTAGCGGCCGAAGCCGCTGCGGCTAACACTGGTTACGGCTAACGTTATACATAAATATATAATTCCGGATGTAAACTGTAAATAATACATTTGACATATTCAAAGTAGAAACGTCACGAGACTGTCAAGACGCAGTAAACAATAAAATGAGTTAGCTTACAAACATAGCCACTTAACGTGCGCTAGCAGTCACTGCTAGCCGAGTACCCGTCAAACCAAATAGAGTAGCCGGAGACGGTACCCGGTAACCACCGGTGATGACATTTATAAAACACTTTTAACATTACCTGGTCCTCATTGTGGGAATGGTCCCCACTCATTTCTAAAACGCTGTTTGACTGTTAAATCAAAAAAATGAAAAACGTGTAGGTTCCCACACACCGGCGAGGAGATGCAGGCAAAATGAAGAAAAGACACGGTTGTGTAAGCGATATCTAAGTCCCAATTGCACGCTAATGCGCATGCGTTTCAATTTAAATGGTACAGATCATCATAGCTCCTCCTTCTAAAAAAAAACCGTGTTGCTTTCCAGGCCCACTGGAGGAGCGAGGTTCACATGTTCCTCGCGTACAAGCCAGTTCAAGCTCAGGACTGCATCTCGTCTGTGTTCACTTGACCCCCCAGGTGAATGAGAACAAAACGAAGCAGCAAGTCTATTAAATCACGTGTAACAATAACACACTTTAAGTTACATCTTAGTATGTCAAATACCACAACTGGCCACATTACAAATGTGCAAATGAGATAAGATTTTTATTATGTGAGAATTATTATGTGGGTTCAGTGATTTTAATGATTTTAAGTGTGTCCTACATGAGCATTTCATACATTTCATACATGCGTATGAAATGTAACAGAGAAGCCTGCCCTGCCCTTCACAACCTTGACAGCCAGCAGGCCTATTGCATAACAATTTAAAGGCAAAGGAGTTGATGTTTCAGGCAGTCGAAATAATAGCTCAGAATATTGCGCGCGCACACACACACACACACACACACACACACATACATATATGTATGTATATATATATATATACACATATATATATATAACACACACATAAATATATTTATATATATATATATATATATATAATACATATATATATATATTTATTTATATATATATATATATATATATATACACATATATATATATATACATACACATATATATATACATACACATATATACTACACATATATATACACACATACACATATATATATACACACATCATATATATACACACATACAATATATATATATATAACATACAACATATCATATATATATACACATATATATATAACACACACACATATATATATATATACTATATATATATCACACTATATATATACATATATATATATACTAAATATACATCATACACACAATATATACATACAATATATATATAACATACACACATATACTATATATAATACACATACATATATATAACACCATGATATATAATATATATATATATGTGATGTATATATATCTATATTATACATATATATATGAATATATTATTATATATATATATATATATATACATATATATATATATATATATATACTATATATATACATATACTATACATATATGTATACTATATATATAATATATATATATATAGTATTAATATATATATATGTATGTATATATGTATGATATTATGTATATGTTGTATGTATGATGATGTATTATGTATATGTATGTATATATATATATGTGTATGTATATATATTGTGTATATATATATATATATATATTATATCTATATATATGTATGTATATATATTATACTATATATTTTATAATATATAATATATACTATATATATATATATATGTATACATATGTATATTATATATATGTATTATATATTAGATATAGTATATTATTTTTCTATTTATATATATATATCATATATATATATATATTATGTATAATATCACACGTATATATGTATATATATGTATTATATAACACATACTATGTTACAATATATATATATACATTTATATGTGTATATATATGTATGTATATATAACACACGGTGAACATCATCTTTTTAAGTTACGTCAAGGGAACTTGAAAAAGAAGAATTTCATTGCTCAATGTAACGATTTGTGTTTTGCAGTGTATATGACAATAAACTTTTTGAATCCTGAATAATAGTTTTTCTGATCTGAATACACATGCTAACATCTAAAACACAAGTACATTAAAAGTTGTTTTAATTGTTCAAGGCATTTACTGTCACATATATATTACTGTTTGTGCCTGTAATCTGTCTTTTGAAAGTTTCTGGTCAGACTTGAGCAGCAAGAAAGCCTCAAAGCAACTTTCTTTTTGTCCACAAGATGGTATTACAGCACCTAACGAGATGAACCAGTCCTGTCAAAATCTCAAAGCATTCATTTCTTTCTAGTCAAAGGTGTTGCTCGCACTTCTTACTTCCATAACAGTTTCAATTATTGAAAATAATCCTGTAGTCCTGTAGTTGATTACAGTCCAGTTGCTGATTTCCAAGTGCAAGCCTTTTAGTTTTATTGATGAAACCTTTACAGTCAGTAATGTATAAAAAAGTGCACACAGTGTAGTTATTTACAGTAAATACAACCATACATATGTTTTCCATGCACCGCCATCAACAAGCCATAAACATAGGGAGAAAAAAGAAACAGAAAACAGAGGCTACAGTAAGGTGCAGGTTGCTGGGGTTTTTTTTCCCTTTCTGACAGAATGACAGTGCAGCATTAAAGTTGTGGAACCCACATAACAACAAAATAATGTTAATTTACCAAATAAAAAGCACAAAACAAGAATACAGTCATAACATTTGAGTGCTTAAGTTTCCTTGAAAAACATAGTATAAATAATCAGAATGTAACAACAAGAAGACCTTCGAAAGTTAAAAAAAAGGAAAGTATAAGGGGTTTAGAGTGCCATTTTCCCTGCTCATCCTTTCACATATCAGCAACAGCTTTGAAAAACACCATTAATGTCAGATTTGTTTCTCTCTAGGATGTTGAAAGCATACATTTTAGTTCCTGCTGTTTGTACAATGATAAAGTGCACAAAAGCTGATTAAGCAGAGATATAAGGGTATAGAAGGCACTGTTATGGGAACACCGTGTCCCTCTTCACACGCATTTAAGGCTCCTAACTGTTTGGCTTTCAAAGCACGTGGTTGAGCTCTGGTATAAAAACATGTAGGAGTCACACAGCAGCCTGCGCACTAGCTCAGGAGCCTGGGATGGGTTGGCCTGAGACAGCTCCTCCTCTGGCTGACTCAGGAAATCACCCAGCTCCGGACAAGCGCGGACCTCTGGAATGTTGTAGCCACTTTGATCGTCACCTATGAGGAAGAGCAGCCTCAAGATTAGACATCAGCCCAGTAGGTGATAAAGGGCAGTCAAAGACGTCAGAACTGTTCTGTCTAGTGCCTTTATGTAACACTGTCAAATCTGCGCTATCAGAAAATAAAGCAGCCATGCTTAATCGACTCACAGAAAGAAAAGGAACAAAAAAATCAACTCAGTGTTTGCACGAACATCATCAAAAACTCTGAATAAACACAAACAAAAATCTTTCTCACCACATCTGTCTGCCATGCTGTCAAAGAAGATCCAGGAGTGAGCGTCAGAGCCGTATTTGACAAAGGACACGTAGTGGCTGGTTTGAATGCAGAGTACAGCAAACAGCTCCATTGTGTGCCTGGGAACAGGAGTATCGGTGGGAACTTCTACTGGTACTGCTAGAGCACTGGGAGAGTGGCCTTGTCGTGAGGGATGGTTGTGTATCTTAAAGAAAAATTGACATAGAGAGCTTCATACAAAAGGTTTGGTTCATGAATTTGCACCTGACATCTAAAGCAGCCACTAGTTTTACCTGTGCATTACAGGTGGTACAGTACTGTTTGATTCTCCCTGGCTGCAGTTTGCGATCTGGCAGACACTGAAGACACTCGTACTCTGCCAAACGCCCACAGACAAAGCACTCCCTCGGAGCTGTTGGACAAAGCAGATGATCCTGAGCATTATTAAGGATTCCTTTAATGCAATTTTTAAGAAAGTGCTGCTTATTACTGCTCCTCACAGTTGTATAGGAGATCTGTGATGTCCAGCTTCAAGGAGGGAATAATGTGAGAAAACATCTTGTATTTGTTTCCAAACCTCGGCATCTGAACTATTAGACAGGACGGCATCTGAAGGACATAAGAAAAGTATTAATGACTGTACAGAGGAAAACTTGTTAAACACACTCTCGCTTCTAGTAAGAGAAGGACTCACCGTTTCAAATTTAAGGTCACCTGACAGGCAGGATGTGTCCATCAGCTGTTGGACCGTGGGTATCTGTCCCATCTGCTCCTTCTCCAGAAAGATCTGGAAGGTGTAGGCACCCTGGGACGTTTCTCGTTTTGATCTGCGGGGGAACACATATTCAGTAACTCAACTATACTCAGTCAAATAGAGTAAGATATTCAGTCCTGGGCGGCTCAAGTTCATACCTGAGTTTGAGCAGAGGCTCCGTGCAAAGCACCTTTTGAAAGAGGACTGTGATGAACTCCTCTGGATCTACAATGACGAGAGGCAGTTTAAAAAAGAACAGATAAATAAATCTGAAAAAAAGCCCTCAGATTTTTTTTATTATATTATAATGTATTTCAAGATACGGGCAGGTACCTTTTTCCTCTGTCCGAAAAGTGTCACAGCCAAGATGAGTCCGAAAATTCATCACACTCTCTGCAGGGACGAAGCCTTGTCTGAAATAAATAGATTAGCTATGAGAAAGCAATTGCATGAATTCACTTTGTAAGAACACATTAACCATACAGACACATGTGAATGTACCATGTCATCAAGGCAGAAAACAGCAACACTCGTTTATCAGCTGATACTATGTAAAAAGCCACTACGTCCTGGTTGTGCAAACAACATGATAATAAAAGAAATGAGATAAACAGTGTTGAAGGCAGCGTCTATACCTGCGTAAACGGTTCACTATTGCTCTCAGGGTGCAGGTTATGGGTTGGTCTGTGTCAGCAGGCTTCTTGCAGATACCATCCAGGGTCACAGATGAGCTGAACAAACTGAGGAAGGAGAACCACACGTTATTGTCAGCTGTGCACTTATCTGAATACAGTGTATCGTGCTCACGTGGTTGTACATGATCTCCTCTAGATACGATTAGCTTAGATAAAGCTAAGCAAATCGGAGTTTGTTGCAGGGGAATGATGGTGAGCGTGTTCTACCTGAAGAGTGTGGCATCAAGGTAACAGGAGTTAATGTGTCCCTGAATCCCTTTCATTTTTCCTACTAACAAAAATGGCGCCTCGAATTCAGGGATAGGTGGCACATCTTCGTCCGTGTCTTCATATGGAGGAACTAAAGAGGCGAGAAAAGCAGATGTTACGATGAAATGAAACTTTAACACAGTCTTCGTGACTTTACTGGCAGCTTTAGATGGGAATGATTAATGATTAATTGGCTTATTTAAAGCAGAAAGCTCACAGGACTGTCAGACATGACAAGCAGTGTGTCACTGTGTGCATTGTCTCAAGTCTAACGTAATATCTTGTCACCAAACCCTGAAAAAGTGAGAAAGGTGTGGGAATATTTGGAGAAGAATCACTTGGAAAAGGTTCTATACTATTTCACTGTGCGTTACACCATTTACAAGCCGTGTGAAACACAGGTATAAATTACAGATAAACAATACATTTTTAAAAAGCTGCCCAAAAGTTTTAAGTATGAATTTTACCTAATCCTCACGCCCTGATCAAGAGTTCTTTTTGGAGAACCTCGCATTTTGCGTTTTTGTCTTGTAAGACTAAAGGATTTTGAGCAATCATTTGTACAATAAAAACTATAATATAATAGAAACATAAGGAACCAAAACACTTTGAACAGAACTGCCAGGAAAAAAGGAAAATCTGTTCCAATAATGTAAATTTGTGTATAATATCGAGTTTTTATTTCTTGTGTATGCATGTTTTAGACTGGGTAAGGTGTCGAACCTGGAGTGGTGTCAGTGGATTTGAGGATCTCTTTTCCTGTAGAGGCACTTAGAAACCTGCCATCGGGGCTGCACTTTGTGATGGGAACAAACAAAGCTCTTTTCTCCTTGCAAGTGAAAAACCGCTGACCACCATACATCCCATCAGAGCAGCCCTTAACGTCGTAGTCCTGGAATAGTGATTTATAACATTAATACGACAGATCACCAAAGCACACTGAAAGCAACTGCACAAATTTCTAGTCGCGCACCAGTTCAATGCCAGCCCATTCACCAGTCTTTCCTCCAGGGACACCCAACCACCGGATGACCCCGTACACTGTGATCCCTGAGTTGGAAACCACCTCCACCATGGATCCCACCTCCAAAGGCACTGAGCTCAGACTCTGGTTCTGAATCAAACTCTGCTCGGTGTGATTCTCTGTCGCCGGCTGTGCACAAGATCCGATGTTTGCAATGCAGCTGTTGCGTGTCACCGCCTTTCTGTTTAAACCTGCAGACATATATCACGATATGTAGAGGTGAGGATGAGATGCCTAGAAAGTCATATGACATTTTCCTTTTTTTTTTTTTTAGGCTTGTCACATGCTGCTTCATCAGATTGTCATCCAGCTAACAAAGATCTATATTTGAAGTATGTAGATAGTTTCAAGTGCACAGTCTACCAAAGGAAAAAGAAAGCCAGATCATGTGGCAGTTCTACTGTTCTGCATTCCAGAACAACAGAACCAGTTTTTCCAGTTGTGTAGTGGACCACTTTCTTTGCATTGTTAGGGTTATGGTTGGGGAAGCAGTTTTCAAGAATTTAGTTTGCTGTTTAGTAAGAAGGAGGCGCACCATGTTTGTAGTGTGGTAGTGTTGTTATCAAAACAAAAGGACTTTGATAAAGCCTGAGAGCCATCATATGGCTTTGAAACAGACTTGTTAACTTTGTGTGTGAGGCTAATAATCCATTTACCCCCACAAATGGCATCTTTCCACTGCAGTCCGAGGGGGACAGAGTAAGATGGGACCACCTGGATGATGTCTGCAGCACTGAAAAGGGACAGAGGAGGTTTCTTGGATGACAAAGTATGATCGGTGTCCTGTGTAGGAAACAAGGAAAAACAGTTACTGAAACGCAAACAGGAACTCTGACGTTATTCTTATATACAGAACAGAAACAGTTTGATGCATCTGTACATTTGCAGTGACATTATCTGGCTGCAGTCATGACTGATCACTCAGAGCGATATAGTCATCCTTATCTCGGTGCATTTTAAAGCATTAAGGTTGCACTTGAGAGCACGTGCAGTTATCTGGATGATCGTGCACTCCATGATTTTCACAACTTGAATCATCAAATCAAAATGTAAAAATATATTATAAAATGAACTCACCACAAATTCCACTTCAAAGGCAAGCATGTACAGGTCGTCTTTATTGTCTTTCCGTCCGATTTGCATCAAGTTCTTCACCAAACCGGGAAGGTGTCCGTTCTTGTGCTTCACCACCACCAGGTCGTCCTGAGACAGCTCACAGATGGCAGAGAACAGTTGCGGGTTACAGAGCAGCTCCAGGCGTCTGCTTGCGCTGGAAATGAAGAGCAGGAGCTGTGCCTGGTGGCGGGTCAGCGGGTACATGTCCTCTATCTTCACCAGGCCCCCGTTCTTGGGGGTCCCTGGGTTGCTGTTCCCGCCGTACAGGAGCCCCACGAACTCTCCACGCTTCGTCTCCGACTCTATGCGCCCGATACATCCTCGGCAGAAGCCTTTCCTCGACTTCCCGCGAGTGACGATGAAAAACTTCTCTTTTAAAACAGTTCTGGGCTCCATTGAAACCCTTTATTCCCACCACTACAGTCTGTCAGACCGGTTGAAAGCTGATACTGTGCTTATGCAAGCAGGTAACCTGCAGAAATGCGATAGAAGTGCTGTAACAATGTAGCCCAATAGATATAATCGAGGATACTTCGCTAGAACCACAAGTTAGACGCATTATTATTATTATTATTATTATTTTCAAATAAAGCACGTTGCCTGATTATTTGCAGGCTGTGTCATGGATAAAACCCTGACTTATAAGGTGAAATATTACAGACGTGATTCCCTTTAAGCTCCTGTGAAAGTTAACCTAGGTTCACAGCAGGATATAATATAGGCGTCCCCAGCTCTTTAAATGAACAAACGAGCCTGATCTTTGAACTTACTCAAAAAGCATTCCCAACTTACAATCATTAACGATTCGGTTTATTATTTAAAACAATAATAATTTCAAAAACTGACTTACTGCGATCATGAATTAAGAACAATAAGCCTTGTTCGTATCCGGTTAATCCACTGCTGGAGCATGAATTAATCGCGCTTTTTTTATTACTATTCTTTTTTTCCCTTTTTTTTTTTAAAAGCAAGTGACTCTAGCAGAGGTGAATCACTTCCTCTTGGCTTCTGCTGTGGAGTGGGAGGGTTGAACTACAGGCATTTAAATGCTGGCCTGCATGTGACCGCCAACGCCCACCTGACGGCGCTCGGCTTCTCCGCCCTAAAAGTGCTCTCTATGAAATCTCTCAATCTGGCAAATATTTGACTGCAGACTGATTTAGAGTTAAGAACTATTGATGCGATCAGCTGACTGTAAGCTAATATGAATCTTTTTTTTCTCCTTATTGAAGTATTTGCTGTCCAACTTGGAGCTTTCGTTGAATTTAGCTTTGACTGATCATTAAGAGACGAAATTTAAAGCAGCCAGCGGTTGCACAGGTCAAGAGTTCATGAAAGGTCTGAGTGCAGTTTGCTAAAAACAAACAAACAAACAAACAAAAAAAAAACAGGGTCACATACTGAATTTTGCATCTGTCAATTTTATAATTGACAGAGGTCAAATCGGACTAATCAGCCACAACATCAAAAGCACTGACATGCTGAGTGAATAACACTGGGCCCTGACACTCGTCTGTTATGTAACTTTGAAAGATCTACCTAAACACCCATGACGACAAAACACCTGCTCCACCAGAAGATTACATGTGACTCCCGTCTTTTTGTTGTTTCATACACATATCAGTAGATTTGATATTAAGAAGTGCGTCTGCTGCAACCTGATGTCTGAACACAAACTCTAATCTTTTCTGCTTATCGAGGATTACTTTCCCTCTTATACGTGAAGTATGAAGTCACCTAATCTAATTACCAATGTTTTACACTCTGGTAGCTATAAAAAAATAAAAAATTAAAAAAAAAGTAACCAACACACTGGGGAAAAATGTTTACAGTAACCAAGAGTTAGACTGCATTGCTCCCAGTGGCACGTTTGCCCTGACTGAATACATGTGACGTGTCCTTCTCCACCACACATTCTACATAGCGTGATGCAGCTATCTTGAAAGTACATCAGTTTTACATAACAGAAATTATTTTCTTCTGCATGCATGTACATGTTTTCTTAACTGGCATTAAATGACAGTTAATTTTATATGAGCAACTAAATCACGTTCCTTTAATTGGAACATGTAATATGAATACTCAGTTTTGTCTTTTTTCATTAGTAAGTAATCTGTGTTGCTGGCTGTCCCCTGTTGGCTGATTGTAATCACCAGAGAACTTTCATATATTTACATCATAAAGTACAAGGACATCTCTATGCTTGTGAGAATATTTATTTCAAGAATAAAGTTGAGGAGAAAAACAACACTGTATTAAACCACCAGTCAACTGAGGCACTCCGCGGCTTAATAAGACTCCTCTGTCCTCACTCTTTGAACTGCATGGGCCTTTGCATGGAAACTCTGCCCACTTTCTCCTTGATAATGAGCTGATGGGGAGGGAAATTAGAAAGCAGGAAGTTACTATTATAATAAAATATTAGATATAGTATTAGTTAAAAAGGCAAAAGGTCAACTGCAGAAGGCAAAATGATACTCACAGTGAACAAGAAGTTTATTTGGTTCAAACTGGTGATGGAGCCCTGTCAGGGAAAAGCTGTCATTTTTCTCTGTATGGAAGAATAATACGTTGACCAGCATCTGAAGCACAGAAACAGTGTTATCGTCAAATATTTTTACAAAACTGAATGTGAAGCCAACTTTCTTCATAATGTAAGGAGATCAAACCTGGGTGATCACACTCAGGGCATTTTGTTCACCAGAGGTGCTTACTGCCATGTGGATCCCACATTTATGCAAAGCCGGCACCACTATAATGGGCATGAGAAGCGACAGGGGCCGCTTTCCTGGCTCGACACAGTTTTCCTGTAAGCGAGTAACAGTCAATTGTAATATCTAAAACTGTGCCTCATACCTGACTGATTTCACAGCCTGAGATTTTTTGATGGTGTTGCACCTGATTAGTTTGAAGTTGTTCTCTGCTTGTATTTGGCCAGGAAAAATCAAGAATGAGGCTGTTAAGAACGATGCCTGATTGAGTTATGAGTCTGCTCCCAAATGGTCTGCTCAAGGAACTGCAGGAGGATGAAGATAAAAGCAGAGGGGGGGGAACAAAACAAAACCATGTAACATTGCCAAGAAGCGCATACCACACATATATCTTGGTTTGATCATCAGAGTCACACTGTAGGCTGTAACCCAGTCACCTTGCAACAGACACAATGAGCTTATCTTGTCCCATGACAATGACCTGTCCAGCCACCAGTTCTGTTTGGGTGGAGTGGATAGGCGAGAGGTACTCAGATGGAGATGTGTGGGAGTAATTCAGCTGCTGCCTGAAGACTTCAGCCTGACTCTTGCTGTGGCAGGAACAGAGGAAAAATCAATTTGTAGTTGATTTTGGATTTTATGACACAAAAGAATGATATTAGTATAAACTAAGGGCTTTTAAAGTTAAACAAAGATGAGTGGAATTAGAGCCTAATAGTTTGTGACAATTTTTTAATTTGTTTTTTTGAATAGATTTGTTTTTCTTTAGAAAACAAGGACATATGAAAGTGACTTCAATCTTTTTCTTCAATCTCTCAGAACTTTTTAAAAACAAAAAGGAAAACTACTCTTCATGTGAGGATTGACACTATCCAAGTTGGATAAGAGTGCATTTGGAGGTGTGTTCGACATATTAGTGACTCAGACCTCCGGTGTAATGCTTCGACCTTTAATATACCGGTACTTTCTCTACTGGGACAAAACCTCTGTTGTTTCTGGGTATAGTGGGATTTTTTTTTCTGCTTTCTTATATTTTATTAACTCACCATTCACCAAAACAGTCTAAACACCCACTACTGAAAACAGTCATTAGCTGTAACCCTAACAGTGATTATGATCCTGCAACATGTTTTACCTCAGCATGTTAGAGAGCGCCTCAGTCACCGAAGAGTTATAATTAGGGTCACCCAAACCACTGGCCATAGCTAAAGCTGTTTTCAGGGCCTTCATGGATAGCAAACAAAGCACGCCTATGTAAGAGAACTGCCATTTACAACAGGTCATAATATACAAAGATATGGGAGGTATTCACACCCCAGTACCTCAGCGATCCAGAGGCGTGTTTGAGTTTCTGTTACATTGCTCTTGCTGATATGGAGTCCCTCTAACAAGTTGAGAGCTGATAGCAACACTGCACCAGCAGATGGAGGAGGAGGAACCTGAATTATAAACTCTAAGGCAAGAATAACAAACTGCAGATGAAGACGTGAAGAAAATAAAGATAATTTTATCAATTCTGGTGTGTAAAATGTCACCTTTATCATTGTACTGGGCTTCAATGGGTAGCTCTACATCCACACTGTAGTTACCAATGTCTTCTCTGCTCAGTACGCCTCCATTTGCTTGTACCTTTGTAGTGAAAGGCAATGCCGGACTAAAACACATGTCATATTTGACTCACAAAGTCATGCCATTTTGTATATGTATATCAGTCACCTCATCTACAATCTCTTGAGATAGGTTGCCATGGTAGAAATTCAACAAACCAGCCTCCAGGACTCCTGCCAGGCGAGGCAACCTCACATATGAACCAGCACTCAGAGGTCTTCCATGTGGCATGAATGCATTATTGAAGCTTTGAGATTGCTGCTCACCACTCACCTTTGATATAGAATCAGCTGTAGGAGATTTAAAAAAACAAAAACATCCTGATGTTAAAATTATTGTATTTATTATTGTATTGTGAAGGAAGAGAGGAGAGAAAATACAAAGAGCAGCAGTTTGTCTCACCTAAACTGTGAGACACATTGAAACCTTCTCTTGCTACAGCTGCAGCTCTGCTGACAACATCCTCCCATGGCAGACTGCAGCAGATTTATGGCATGACGTGTGACAAAAAAAAACAAAAAAACAAAACACTAAACACCTAATTAAAATGAACTTTTCTATATTCTTACCCTCCGTACAGTGTGTGGGCACGGTGCAGTCCCCTGAGCATGCCTGGCACTCCTACTTGCAGACCTGCCTGAAAATAAATTATAGGTGCAAATGAAAAAATGCAGATGTTTCAGGATTCCTCCACCCCAGCCTTTAAACTACCTTGGCCTGTGAAACATTGTACAGCACCTCCCTTCTGAATGCTTTAGGAGCAGATCCCAGAAAGTTGATCACCCTGGTTTCATTCCTGTGTATGTCATGAACGAGCATAATTCCTCCTCTACAGTGAGGAAATCAAAAAAGGTCAGGGACTTTCGTGTGTATTTATAAATAGAAGTCGCATCAGCATTGAACAATGAGCAAATCACATACCCACCAACACCTGATACGTGTGGATGAACGACTCCCAAACACAAGGCACCGGCGATGGCAGCATCCACACTGGATCCACCATCACGAAGGACTCTGTGACCGAGTGCGGTGCAGCGCTCGTGATCCGAAAACAACTCCCCGTATTGGAAGACCTGTAAACAACTGCCGTGACGAGAAATAATGTGACAGGGGTTCGACGTGCAAATTTTAGACACCATTGCATACCAAACTTTCACCCAGGTAAATCTGCAGGACCAAAGCAATTGACACTGGCATGGCAAAGATGGTAGACAGAGCGTAGACAGCTATTGGTGTGCCTCTGCTGGAGCAGTCCTCATCAGCCTCCTGATTGGATGGACTTTGGTCAAACAAATTTGTGCCATTAGGTGCCAGCTGTTTCAAATGGAAAGGATCTGTGGCAGCAGCAAGTGAGGAAAAAGCAACTTTAGCAACCGAGTTGAAATTTGTTGGGTTTTCAAGGCAAATTTGAACTGACTCTAAATAAGACGCCTTATTTACTAGTACTATATCTTTGTGTTTGAACTCTACCTCCCAATTCCTCACCATGATTTTTAGTCAAGTCACAAGTTAAGTCACTGGGTGATGAGCCATCAGCCAGCTGATTTGAACTACCAAAACTCTTGTAACCAAGTGTTGACTGCTTGTTAAGTTTTGTTTTAGGAGACGCCTCCATCCTCGCCATATCACAAGGTCTGAACTTCACGGTAAACCTCCAGATTACACCAGTTCCCCACCGAGCGCGCTCCTCCTGCAGCAGGAGCAGAACACAGCAGGTGCAATTTCCTCCAAACTAATGAGATCAACTGTTTGCATCTGTGAGAGAATGAGCAGTTCACTGTCTGTGGGACATCACAATTTCACTATAAACAAAAGAAACAAACAAGCTGCAAAATCATACTTTTATTGATGTATCAAAAAAAGGTTCTGAACCAACAACATACAGGGAAGTGCATGGTGTCAAACATAGCATAGCACTTGGTCCAACACTGTATAAATTTACCTGTGCACATACACAAAAAAAGAAACCTAGCGTATCTCATTTTATGAGGTGAAATCTTCATTTCAAATTCAGATACAGTACAAGTTCAAATGCTAATGTAGCTGCCTGGTAACAGTTAACTAGTGTTGGCACATAAAGATTAAATGTTTAGCTTAATTTGCAGAAACGTGGAAAAGCCTACAAGTGTTTTTGTTTTGTTTTTATTTTTTGTCTGTCTTCAGTTGCTTTAGCTTTTTGTGTGAGTGTGGCAATCTGTAGTGAAGAGATTCAGTGGCTGAGGCTGCGACAGCCTGGCTGTTGGAGGTGGTAGGAGTGGTGTTGGACTCCTTGGCGAACACGGTTCTGGCGTTGAATAGCGTTGCGGGACACATGATGCCGGTCTGCCAAAACCTTAGCCTGTGTCATCTTGGCTATAGCTTTGGGCTTGGACAAAGAGCTGAACACGGACTGAGCGCTGGTCCCGGTACTCCCGCTTTGTGCTGTGGGCTCGGCATCTGCAACGCTGGCCAGACACATAAAATAAATCCAATAAACGGACAATAACGCTTTTCCTTATTGTCTGCATATAACATATATTTAAAAAAACACTGTTACAGTGGTAGATGCTCACATTAAACACCGCCAGTTTAAAACACTACTAATTTAAATGCTTGCTTTTAGATTTTATCATATGTTTTGAATCCCTTAATAAGTTGGCATCATTATATTTTGCTGATCTCTTAACACCTTATGATCCCCTAAGGCACAGGTGTCGAACTCCAAGCCTCGAGGGCCGGTGTCCTGCAGGATTTAGACGTGTCCTTGATCCAACACAGCTGATTTAAATGGCTAAATTACCTCCTCAACATGTCTTGAAGTTTTCCAGAGGCCTGGTAATGAGCTAATCATCAGATTCAGGTGTGTTGACCCAGGGTGAGATCTAAAACCTGCAGGACACCGGCCCTCGAGGCCTGGAGTTCGACAACCCTGCCTTAAGGTCACTGAGATCTGCTGATGTAGCTGGGTTGGGGATTGGGCTTTCTCAATTTTATTCTTTCACTTTCAAACCAGAGTGAGAGCTTAGGTATTTAGGCTTTTTTATTTTTGTGATTCTTCGGATATCTTTACTAATGTGTGTGGGCGTGTATGCTGTATTGTCCTGTTTCATGTGCACCACTTTGGTCATCTTTGTTGTTTTAAACATGCTTTATAAAAAAATGGACTGGACTTCTTTCAGTTTCCTCTGAATCTCTGTTTTTCAGTGATATTCATAATATGGTCATCTCAGACTCATAACTCTGGCTATCAGCACAGATACCCCACCTACAGACTATTCAAAACTTTGTTTACACGAGGCAGCCAATCAGAGCAAAGATGTCTTAAAAAGAGGGTGTAAAGCGGCTGCATCAGACCCAGTATAGGATAAATAAAGGATTACTTTGAATTGTGAATCATCTTTACTTTACTAAAGTCAATGAATATAATTATGGAGCTAGAGATTAGCGTAATAGGTCCATTTATTAAAGTATTTTAACTTTAAATATAATACAGAAACAAAAAAACAAAAGCATGCGATGACCTCACCAGTCAGTTTCCAGCTCTGTTCCTTGAGGAACAGAGCTGGATGGTTGGCTGTCAGTCAACATTGCATCCTGGTTTTCTGCTGAACCTGCCTCTGTGAAGACAGAAGTTGACCTCAGTTATAAGACTGGGTAATAACCCAGTGTATGCTAAGCATTAGAGCAGGGCGATATGACCAAAAATATTTATCACGATATACATTTGAAAATTTGCGATAACGATATAACTGACGATATAATTGACACTAGACAAAATACTTTACAACTCCACAACTTTATTAGGGAAAAAAACATCAATGTATTTACAATTAAACAAACAGCTGTTTTTATGTGCATAAAGTTGTATAAAAATTTAACAGTGCAAATGCAAATTCCTTGCTGACAGTTTAACCAAAAGGCATTTCCAGTGGAAATGTTCCCTCTAAGCTGTGCGTGTGCGCAATTGCGCACTGCTGGCACGCTCTCTGCGCACAGAAAATCTGCTTTGCGCACAAAAAAAAAATCTAACCTGAATTGAAATTAAAATTAATACTTTAACAATTCTGTTTTGCAGTGTTAGTCAGTAAGTGACTGGCTGCTCCCGTATGGGATTAGAACGATGCCACCTTATCCCGTAGTCCAGCCAATGATGCGAGCGTCGTTGACAGGCTATGACAGCGTCCTTATGTGCCGACACCGGTGTTTTAGGTAGCAAAGCGGCGGATGTGGAGTGAAGCCACGTTAATGACAACGTGTACAACCATTGGAGATGTGAGCAGGACAGACGAAACAATTGACGGAAAAACTGTGGACTTTATACCAGTTTTTAAATTGTGTTGATCGGCCACGTAAAACCAGAGTTATGATAAAAATATTTGCAATGTTTGTTTTTTTCCTGAATACTATCGTTGTTTATATTTACTGCGGGAGAAACGGTAAAAACGGCGTTTTATAAGGAAAACGCTTGAAAGCACTCTCCGCCTGTGAGCAAAAACAAAAAAAACCCCACCCTTTCCTATTGGTCGAAAAATGTACCATGTCGACCAATCAAAAAAATGATGTGAGAGATTTGAGACGTTCAGCACAAATCTTGTGTAGTTAGTGTGTAGTGTAGTCAATAGTTTTGTTGTGCGTGTCAGAACAATGAGGCGACTGCTGAATGTTACAGGTGTTACAGGAGTGATACATCTCCTGTTGTCAGGCCTGCAGGTATCAGGCGGTTGTTCTCCTTCATCTCATAGTGGACAGAAATGATTTTTTGGAGTGGCACAAATAATTTGTGTGGCATCAAATTTGATGCAGAACAGCTGATTGTTCTGTAAATAGTTTGAAATGTTTATTTAAAAACTGCCTTGGCTGCATTTGTAGGTAAACAGCTGCAAAAAACTTTGTTGTTTGCAAAACTCAGTTACTTTTTTGAAGAAGTAACTATATAATTAATTGCCCATCATTGGTCATTATATTCTGTATTTTGCAGACAGAGAGTTACAGACTCTCTCACAGACCACAGACTCATACTCGTAATACAAGTCAGAGCTTTATTAAAAAAAAAAAAGAAAGAAAGTTGTGTTTTCAAAATTGGAGTTCAAGTTATTTTTTACTTTCAGTAGTGTTAACATACCACACAGGTCATGAACAAGATTTTTTTTTAATTTTCATTGTATGTGGGCTAAAGCAGTTAATTAAAAGTAGTCTAACATAAATGCTGTAATTTGATTATTTTAATAAACCATGTAACTTGGATGGATTCAATGCTGGCCTGACCACAGTGCACACGTCTGCTGTCGCTCACAGTGGTCCAAGGGAGTTTGTGTGTTTGCTCAGACACATGAAAAATTAGAGGAAACATTGCACACGGGATTATAAGGGGCACTGTCGATTTTCAGAAAAATCAAAGGACTGATTTTAAGTGTGCCGTATTTAGCATGCTCTACCAAAAATAGTGCTTTGTTGTGTATCTGACGGACGAAAGCCAAACCAGTTCCACACCACTGAAGTTGCAGCATTTTTACAAACCATTTCTGGTTCATCCGTTTCATTCAACGATCCGCTTTCGCCCTTCTCATTCTCCGTCGCCGCCATGCTTTTTCTGCCATGTGGGTATGTAAACAGAGGCAGTGAGCATGTGCATTTTACCCATCTTCTATCGCGATATTTCATTTTCTTATCGTTGCCCATCATTATACCGGTATTACCGTGAACGGTATGATATGCCCCAACCTAAGCACTGTACTCGCGTGTAAAAACAAACACTCAATATCAAGGTGTGCAGTTCACGGACTAAATAACTAACAGATGACCTACTGAATCGCAGTTCACACACACACACACACACACACACACAAACACACATACATAAACATACATGAAAGAAGTTTAAAATCTTGTTTAACTTTGTTTGACCATTTTTGTGTTAGCCTGTTGGAATGATGTAAAATATGTCACTGTTTTAATATGTTATATTACTGACAGACGCTGCATGACTGACCTTGGTGAGTGACAACATGCCACCCTTCCTCCATCGTGTCTCCAGCCTTGACATCTTCAGGGGTCTCCTCCTCTCTTCCAAAAAGCATACGCGCGATTGTTCTGAACATATCTGTTGTAGTTGCTCTTCTTTGTTCTGCACGGTGCTCGGGTGTTACAATGCTCTTCAGCTGCTGTGGGCAAGAGAAAAAATCAAAAAGAATAAAATATCATTACTTCCTGATTTAATTCAACACAGCCCTTGATCCCCCCCCCTTACTGTTTGGGAGTGGGTGATGCCATGAGATCCCATATTACTTTTAACATATTCAAGCAGTCTCAGGTCAGCTGACTGGGATGCCCAATGAAATGTTTAGTAGTTTGCTGGTTTGAATAAGAATGCCCACTCCCCAAGAATTTCATTGTTAGTGACCATCTGTTTCTAGATACATGGGGGAGGGGCTCTTTTCATCAAACATCTGACCAGTGGGAAGCTACGGCACTTAATTCATAAAGATTTATCTCTTTTTTTTTTTTATAAATGCATCAAAATTAAAACACTGCAGATATTATATCATTAAATCATATTTTCATCTCTTCTCGTTGCCTGAATTCATTATCAGATGCATTTGTTGTATATTGTTTCATGTCTTTTGCTCACTCGGCGTCCTCATTTACAATACCAGAAGATTATATCGTATCAAATCAAAAGACCTTAGACGGCCAGCAGTGCCTATCAGTCCAACGCAATAACAAGCGAACGAAATGTAGCTTTATGACAACAATTCAAATGTAGGTTATCTATTTCCCGTCAACGTTAGCAGCCTGTGAGAGCAGCTCTGCAGCGACCTTACCTGCGCTTTCTCAGTTTGACTCGAAGATCATTATGGAGTTTCAGCTGGGTACATATATTCAAAATAAGCCTATAAATGCTACAACGCACCTCAATGCGACTGTTGTTTTGGATTTCAAATATTCAACCGATAGCTCAATAACAGACCCGCCCATATCCCCGCCCACCAGGAGCAGATCACCAATCAGAGGCCAGGAGGGAGCTTGTCGTTTTGATTTGAGTTTAGTCAAAGATGAAACATTTTTGTTAAGATAATTCCCCTCATTTAAAAAAAAAAAAAAATTTAATTTTTTAATGTAACATTTACGTTTGTTGTTCGGTCTATTCAGCTTTGTAAATTACTTCTATACAAATTACACCAACGTAACTTTTTGTATTTTGCTGCATGACTAAATAAAGGGAGAGATTTTTAGTCGATATTGTGAAGTAATAACACTAAAATTTGACTTTTTGCGGCAAAAAAAACATGTTTTGCACGGGAATAAGGTATTTTTTTCATAAGCGGAAAGAACTGGACAAATATTGGTGTTATGTCTCCATCTATTGGTTTGCTAAAATGATAAGGGAGGTTAACGCATCTTAACATCCCTTGCTATTGTTCCATATTACTGGGTGTTTCATTAAATAAATAGGCCTAAATGAATAAGTATTTAACGTTCAATAACCTATTTCAATCGCAGTTGAATATTAACACGTGTACGAAAAATACTGTATCTTTTGTGAACGTGTCTAAGTCTGAAATTTAACTAGATCCTATACTAAAGCTGAACGCCAATCAAAGCGCACAACCTATGGCACAGAGCTTTTTTGAAAAACTAAGAATCCATGCTCACTTTTATATGTGTGTGCTGCTTCACAGTAGGACCTTGTGGACATCCATGATCGGCTCATTGTCCGTGATGTGAAGGACAAACACGTGCGTGAAATTTACACAAAAAAATCACTGTATGGATGTATGCTTAAATCTGTCAGGTATATTCAATTTCAGTGTTCTTTTTATTTTATTTTCAAAATCAGAAGACTGTGATTTACTCCAGGATTTCTACCTACCAGTAGGACAAACTGATTATTACTACTGGTTTATCATCTGTGTCATTCATGAATGTTCATGTTGTTTTGTGTTATTGTGTGTTATGTTCTCAGTAATGATCTTATTTTTAAATCGTGAATTACTATATCACGTTTGCTGTTCAAACGTGCACAACCTTCTTCTTAGTTTGTTTAAAGCTATTTCACGGGTGACATGACTTGGACGCAAGAAGACCGCTTTGACAGCAAAGTGGTTTCACATGGCGTGAGTGGTCATATAGTTTTACTTCCTTTCTTCCAGGAGATGGTGCCGTTACTCTGCTGACGTTGATCTACGGTCCATAAATTGATAAACTGGCATATAGCTTATTCTATATCAAGCTGCACCTTTCTTAAAATGGAAAGTCCGATGACACTTTAAACCAAGTCAAGATGCCGTTTCACAATAGCAGCCAGTGTGTTTTTAAATCAGCATATGGTTATTCTCATTCTTTCATCTGCTTGGAATTATTGTTGCGGTGTTATTATTACGTATATATGGGGTCAGATGTTTATATCCTTCCGTATCTATAATTATATGAGCTTAATAGAGGGCAAATTGTCATCACACCTCCAAGAATCTGCATTATTGCACCACAGAGAGCCACAGTCACCCAAACTGCCATTTACATGCATGTCAATAAAACAATTCGCTATGGTTCCTTCACCTTTTCTCGTCTGCGGCTCAGCGCCGCTGGATTCCTGTGGAAAGGCTGTGAGGCTCATGTTTTTGTTGTCGTAAAGTGTGTTGAGCGTGAAAGCTTCTTTCTGAGCACTTGAGCGGCGATATGTGAGGTGGGAAGGTGGGGAGGGCCCTCGGGGTGAGCACACCCCTACTTGCCTGTGTCAGAGTATTTCAGAACAGAGGCCAGTATTTAGAGACTCTTCATGAAAGCTGTACATATGACTTTTTGCTGAAGTTCCACTTTAACTTTTGGGGCTGTTGGAGGACTTTTTCTCCCCTGTTTCCCACGGATCCGCAGAGCAAGATTATAAACGACTTTTTCGACTTCTAGAAACTGCGCCGTGACCACAGGATACTTTAACGCACAGTTGCTACACCCTCAAAGAAGGACAATGCCTCGATCTTTCTTGGTCAAGAAATACTTTGCTAAGCAAAAGCCAAACTACAGTGAACTGGAATGCCAGAACGGTGAGTTACGAAGTTGTTTATCCCTTCAATGAATTATGAAAGCATCCTTACATAAGCGTCGCAAATGAGGCATGAAATTGTCCCTTTTTCTAACTGTAGAAGTAAAGTTCAAGTCGAATGTAAGAACATTTTCTAAATGTGTTGTAAGTCTGGTCCGACTACAAACCAGTCTATTCCCCGTTCAAGTTGGGACCCGTTAGATGCACTTTACCCCCCTTCCTGCACCCAGACAGAGCTCCATTCATGTTACAAGCCCTTGTGAATACGTGGGAGGAAGCGGCCACAGAGCCTTCCCATGGCTCTAACTTTATTCTCAGTAAATCATGAGGAAAAGGGGAAAAAACGAGAAGAACGCAGAACCTAAATCAGTCAAGAAGAGAATTCATGCAGTCCACGAGAATAGATAAAATAGTTTTTAGATTTCAGTAATGCATTTACAAGCTTAATATTTAACTTTTGTAAGCTTTCTAACACTGGCTGTGAAATCATCCTCTTTCCTTAACAGACACTTATTTGGAGAATTATACTCTTGCTGATCTCTCATCAGTCAACACCACTGCCACCTGCTTCACCACAGGTTTGGTGTGGGATCTGAGTGTTCTTCCCACCCTTTACCTACCAGCCTCCCAAACAGAACCCTCTGCCAACACAGGGCCCCTAGACCTCAGCTCCCCATCCAGCCTCAGCAGCAATGCCAGCAGCAGTGGAGAGGAAGATGAGGGGCGCACCTCGGACCCCCCTAGTCCTGAACCCGTGCACACGTATGGCCCTCGCCAGCGGATGAAATGCACAGGAGTCATGGCTCATATCAGTCCCCCAGAGGAGGAAGAAGAGAGAGAGACCCCTGCCACAGCTGCCAGGCCAGCTTTCCTCTGCAAACACTGCCCCAAAGAGTACACCAGCTTGGGGGCTCTAAAGATGCATATCCGCTCACACACTTTGCCCTGCGTTTGCACCACCTGCGGGAAGGCTTTCTCCAGACCGTGGCTGCTGCGCGGTCACATCCGCACACATACAGGTAAGACCCATTTTCACACGTATTGTGCAACACTGTATGGTATCTGGCAACTCTCCAATGGATTGTTGACACATGAATGAAGAAATCTGTGTTACTGAAAATTTGTAGCTCTGCGTATGAGTTGACATCATTGTTAGTCAGCAGCAGGTCACTCCCTTATCATTCAGACTGTGTATGAGGCAGCAGGATATCCATGACAATCAATGTGATGAGCTTAACACTCAATCAGCAGACATTATCACACAGGGAAGCCCTCTGTAGACCTTGCACTCATTGATTACACATTGTGTTTAATGTCTCGGCAACAATGACTCATCTGCTAATTATCTTACCACTGCTGTTGGTTATCACGCAGAATAGAGGGACAAAAGGTTTAAGGAAAGCCTGAGGGCTCCCTGCTATCACTGAGCACTTAGTACCTGCAGCAACTTGTTAGCGTAATCTCATTTGGCCCTGATTAAATCATGCTAATTCAGTCAGTCTCTGACCCCACCGGTCTGCCATGTGATTCTTTATTATCTTCACAATGTGACTGCTGTGTGTGAGGTGTTAGTGGAAAGCTCTTGTGAACTCAGTGATGCTCGAGTTGTGTCCCTGTATGGGATTTTTACTCACATCTAGAGGGAAGTTCCAGTGAAGTCATAAGTTTCCAAACTTTTCCCTGCAGGTGAGCGCCCATTTTCCTGCCCCCACTGCAACCGGGCCTTCGCCGACCGCTCCAATCTACGGGCTCATCTGCAGACCCACGCCGAGGTGAAGAAGTACCAGTGTAGCGTGTGCTCTCGCACCTTCAGCCGCATGTCACTGCTGCAGAAACACAGCTCCTCGGGGTGCTGCTCCACTTCGGTGTGAGATGGCCTGAAGGGAGGCAGAGGGGACCCACTCAGAGCTCAGGAGGGCTTGCAGCCATGGAGAAGAGGTTTTCACAAGCCCGGTTGCCCTGTTGAGGACCTATAAGGCCACAAAGAGCATGAAATGGCCTGCTTTATGAGACCTGGATGGAATTAAACCTCATTATGGATCTGACTTTACAAGCCTCTTTTTCACCATTAAAAAAACAGCTGACAAGCTGATTTTTTTTTCTTTTTAAATATAGTCCAAGGTCTTGAGGCTGGACCAAATCTGAACTGCACTATGCAGACACTCACTTGATATCAGCTCCTATGTTGCTATTGTGCCCATTCCAAACACCAAATATGTAGTGAACTCATTGGGTTAAGAGGTGTTCTTTCCCGTCTCTGTCCCGGTGCCGGTCAGCTCAGGATCATGGCCGAGACACAGCTGCTCAGAGGTAGGGGTGCGTGGGTGGAGTAAATCTCTTAGCGTGTCTCAAAACACACACACACACAGACACACAATTGAGTGCACACACAGCTGTCCTCGGTACTGTGGTGTAGATAGACGAGGTGCTAACAGGTGCTACAGCCCTGACCTTCGCTGGTTGATAGCAGGTGACTTCCACTGCCCTTGGTTTGCTTAAGAAAAAAGAGGAAGCATGTCATCACAAAAGAATGGCACCAGTTAGTGTTTTCTTCACCAGTTGGGGGATCATTTTAAGCCTCTATTTTGGCTACATCCAAACCTTCTCTTTAATCTGATGTGTTTAGGAGATAGGAAAAGCCGTTCCGTCTGTTATTTTCCAAAGGAGTTTCACTGTGCAGCTCTGCCATGCATTCTAGGTTACCACAGTGTTAATAATGTCAGCCAAAGCCATACAACTCAAATAAATACGTGCCTTGAAATTATATTATTTTTGAAACCAAAATGTGCCTTGTGTGTTTACCTCATTTAGTAGTCATGGTTTTAAGAAATGATTGCAGTATTAGTAGAAATTAGTTCTATAAAGTTTTAAAATGCAAAAAGGCTGGGACCAAAGAATTTTGTAGTTTACAGCATGGAGACGTGCTTGCCTATGATGTAATGAGGA